CCGGTGCTAGGGTGGCTGGGGTACCTGGGGTACCGGGGATGTGGGGTGTCCCCGGGGTGCTGAGGTGCCCGGGCTACCTGGGATGCCGGGGATGTGGGTGCGCCCCGAGTGCCCTGTCTCAGGATGAGCTGGTGCCGCGCACCCCCCAAAACCCTCCTCTACCACGTGCACCCCGAACTACCCCCCAGCACCTGAAGGAGCCACCCATCCCTTGGGTGCTGGGGGGGGAGGCAGATAGGTGCCCGCACGGTGGGTGAGGGTGTATTTTGGGGAGCTTCCCCCCCTGTTTTGAGGAAGGTGCCCCAGGGAGTCGCAAACCCCCATCCCCTGCCCACTCGGCGACTCCCCACAAAATGCATTGTGCTTCTGTGGCATCACTTCTGTGCTACCGACATGTGGCTGCAGGGAGAGTATCCCCCCGGGGCTGTCCCCTCCAGACCGTGGTGGCCGTGGCTCCCCAGGGAGCTGTGCCTGAGCTCAGCCGCCCGAATTGCTTGTGGCCACTACACGTTGACAACTACGTAGTGTGACAGCGATCTCTTGTCAAGGTCACACCACAATAACCCGGCCATAACCAGGTTCACACAGTGATAACAGCCTGTGCTCTGCTCCTTCTCTGTGCCTGGCTTGCACCGGGGCAGAGAGATGACAGCACTGAGCTGGGAGCATCCCCTGGGGCTTGTGCCTGCTCACCTCGAGTGGTGGCAGCTCCATGCATGGTCTGGAGAGGTGGAGCTGGGTCTGGCCAGATGGGTTTGGGGCTGGGGTCCCTGCATGTGTGGGGACACACATGCCAGGAGTTAGGAGCCAGTGCTCCCGGGGACGGTGACACTGGGACAGCAGCACCGAATTGTATCCCAGGTTTAATGTGGATGGTTTCCTTTGGGCCAGGGATGAGCAGTTGTAGCCATCCTAGATGGACACAAAAGGAAACAGGGAGCATCTGCTTCCCAAATGGGTTTAGAGCAGAGGGTGGAAAACAGCCGTCGGGGTCCCAGAGCACGTGGCGGGGGGCTGCCCCACAGAGAGCGGCTGCTGGAGGTGACGATCGCTCACATCTGCAGCCCGGCTCGGGGACGAGCCGGAGATGGGGCATAGTCCAGGCAGTCACGGCTTGCAGGAGGCCCAGGTGGGCACGGCACAGCGCAGTGCTGGGGTGGGCGTTTGGGGGGTGTTTAACCCCCACTCATTGCCCCTTGCCCTTCCTAGCACAGCGAGGGGGCTGCGCCTGCCACCGGCTCTGGGCGATAGCTGGCTGGCAGTAAGTGAACACCAAATCCCTGTCCCGCCCCCAGGGATCTATTTAAGAGGTAGGGGCTGTTGGCCCAGCTGTGAGCTCTGAGATGTGCATGTTTTGGTGATGCTCAGGCACCAGTGCTGAAATCCCATGGGAATGCTGGTGAGTCCTCGCTGGGGTGAATGGGCAGCCCACTGCCCACTGCTGCTTTTGGCTTCAACTATGACTGGCTCTCCCCTGCTGGCACCGGCGCTGGCTTGTTTCCCTATTAGCCGCCTGCGTTATCTCACCTCTGAAGAGCCCCCCAGTCTGGCCACACAGGATGGCAGAGGGGGGGCACAGACTGGGACCATGGACTTACTTTTTAATGACTGTGATTAGTCATTCTGCAATTAGCAGGGTAATCGGGTTTCTAGACCTTGCTCCCACGGCATGGATTGGCACACGTGGATTTTTATGGCTTGAAAAGTGCTGTCAGTGACTTGTCATGGGAGTGGGGAGCACTGGGAGGACACCCGGGCCAGGCCTTCTCCCTTCCCTGCCTTCATCCCGTGACTGCTAATTGGGCCTCCACAGCGCTGCCAGCTTTTCTGTGGCCAAACCTTAGGATTTGAGCATTTAATCCCCCTCTGGACCGTGAACCTCATGGCATTTTGCATTCTCCCCAGGCTGGGGGATGCCGCCCGAGCATCAAGTCCTGCCAGGGGAGAGCCAAGGGGCAGGCACTTGCCGGTGGCTCGGCTAAAGTCCCACCGACTGCCCAGCTAATGTATAACACAGGTGGCCTCGTGCCCAGTGTGCACATTAACTTGCTTTCACAACCAGTGCGGTCCCTGTGGCTGCTGCCGTCTCCTTCCAGAGCATCCCCGGCACAGGGTGTCTGCATCCCTCTGCTTCTGGGTCTGCATCCCTCTGCCTCTGGGTCTGCAGCAGAGCAACTTGGCTCAGAGGGAAGTGTTGCTTCGGGGAGGGGGTAAAACCCCACTGACTCTTAAAAGGGAGAAAAAGGAGGTGATGGGAGCCAAGGATGCCCCGCTGCAGAGCCGGGCACTTCATGCATCCAGGCTCTTTTATACGGGATTTACAAATGCTGCCTGAAATGGCCCCCCCCACTTTTGCACAGCAAGACATGCAGCTGCTTTTATTCTTGCAAGAACATCTCCTGGGGAGAAGGTAGTGGTATTTATTTGCCTTGCGATTATGGAGGAATTTGAGCCCGTGCCAAATGCTGCTTTCTCCCCAGAAACTGCAGCGACGTAGCTTTCAATGTCTCAGAGAGCGCTTGCGGCCAGAGAGGTGCTGCCTGGCCCAGCAAAGCCCATCTAGCTGACAGTCCCCAGGATAACGCTGCCGTCCTGCTGCAGAGCCGGTGGAGCCATGCCCAAGAAGAATGATGACACCAAAAAGCCAGCATCGGAGACGGTGCTGGACCAGCACTGGAAACTACAAGTCTTCTACCTCTGCTTCTATGGCTTCATGACACAGATCCGGCCCGGGGAGAGCTTCATCACCCCCTATCTCCTGGGGCCCAACAAGAACTTCACACAGGCAGAGGTGAGCCACGGGTCCCCCTTGGTGTCCCCCTTTCTGGACATGATCACCACCCTGGGGCTGGCTAGAGCATCCTCCTGTGGTCCTGGGGTGTGGAGGGGTGCAGGCGTGCCACATCCCAGGCAAGGCAGCGTGTGGTGACACATAGCAGTGCTTTTTGGGGGGGAGAAGGTGGTGTGGTATGGGTCCAGCTGGCAGCATGTCCCTGTCTCACTAGGCTGCGAGGTCACCCTGTCCCCTAAGTCCCAGGCTCAACTTTCCCCAGCATAAGACCTCGCGCCCAGGCTGGCAACAGATTTTGGGGGGTGATACCTGACCTGTGCCTGCCTGGGCAGCCAGTGGGATGCCAGGAGGGTGCTGGGCTGGGAGAAGCCCTGACCCATCCCACCAGGGAGACTCTCCCATGCTGGTGCGGTGCACAGTGGGGGGCACAGGGCTGGGCACTGCCAGGCTGCTGGTAACGATGGGGTTAGACGAGGGGCCACATGTCGTTGTCCCCCAATGAAGAGATGCTGGCCCTGGTCCCAGCAGGCTGCTGCGTCCGTGGGAACGCTGTGTTCCCGGCACAGGAGGGGGCCGGGGGCTCAGCCAAGGCCCCGGCTGAGCGCACCATGGGCCACATTCCTTCCCGAGGAGGTGCTGTGATGAGGGTCAGTGGCTGCTGCCCACCCAAACCGTGCTCCTCCAGACTGGGGATGTCCCCCAGGGACGTCCCCCATGCTTAGCCCCTCCTTGCATGCATGGCAGGTGACCAACGTGATCATGCCGGTGCTGACCTACTCCTACATGGCTGTGCTGGTGCCCATCTTCCGGCTGACGGACTCCCTGCGCTACAAGCCTGTGCTGGTGCTGCAGAGCCTGAGCCATGTCTCCATCTGGCTGCTGCTGGTGTTCGGCACCTCTGTCCTGGCCATGCAGCTGATGGAGTTCTTCTACGGTGTCACCATGGCTGCCCGCATCGCCTACTCCTCCTACATCTTCTCCCTTGTTGCCCCATCCCGCTACCAGCGTATGGCCAGCTATTCCCGCTCCGCTGTCCTCCTGGGCGTCTTCACCAGCTCGGTGCTGGGCCAGCTCTGCGTCACCTTGGGCGACGTCTCCTTCCTCACCCTCAATTACGTCTCGTTGGGCTTTGTCAGCTTCGGCCTCGTCCTCACCCTCTTCCTTGAGCGGCCCCGACGCAGCCTCTTCTTCAACCGGTGGCGGGAGGCGGTGCTGTGCCGTATGCTGCGAGAGGTGGGAGCGTTGGCTGGTCAACCCCAGCTCCGGCTCTGGTCCTTGTGGTGGGTCTTCAACTCAGCTGGTTACTACTTGATGCTGTACTATGTGCAGATCCTCTGGAATGAGATCTACCCCGCCACAGACAACTACCGGGTATACAACGGAGGGGTGGACGCCGCCTCCACACTGCTGGGTATGCTCGCCTGGGCTGGGGACGCCGGGTATGCAGGGGGACACCCCCGTCCCACTACATCCCCTGGGAATGGCTATGGAAACCGGGGATATGGGAGGACCCCCCATCCCACTACGTCCCCTGGGAATGGCAATTCTTACATTTTTGGGGATGCAGCGGGTAGTTTGGCAGTGGTAATGAGCATCACTAGAGATGAGCATCACTAGGTTGGGAGATGCAAGGTAGGTCCCATGCTGTTGAGGTCTTTACAACGTCCTTCATCCCCTCCCCAGGGGCTGGTGCCTCCTTTGCCGCCGGGTACGTGAAGATCCGCTGGACGCTGTGGTCGGAGCTGGTGATTGGAGTGGTGACGGCTTTCCAGGCAGGGCTGCTCCTGCTCATGACCACCACCAGCAACATCTGGCTGTGCTACACTGCCTACGTCCTCTTCCGTGGCTCCTACCAGTTCCTGGTGCCTGTCGCCATGTGCGTGCTACCCCTGGGGACCTGCTCCCACCCCAGCAACCGGGCTGGCACCAGGGGCTCACCGGTTACCCCTCTGTCACAGTTTCCAGATCGCTACCTCCCTCTCCAAAGAGCTCTGCGCACTGGTCTTTGGGGTTAACACCTTCTTCGCCACTGTGTTGAAGACCATCATCACCATCATCGTGGCTGACAAGAGGGGCTTGGGCTTGTCTGTGCATCCCCAGGTAGGGATGTAGGGCACCTAGCATGGAGGTGGTCCCCTAATGATGTGGGATGAAGTGGGGCGGGGCGCTGCAAGCATCACTTTCTCCCCACCTCTCTTGCAGTTTTACGTGTATTTCGGCTACTTCACGCTGCTGGCGGTGGTCTACCTGCTGGCAGCCGTCAGTGTGGGCATCCGGCACATCCGCTGCAAGCAGCCAGGGGAGCTGGCCTTGGCCAAGGAGCCGTGCCAGCTCCCCACCGAGGTGCCGGCACAGGAGAAGAGCGCGGAGGCAGGCGCCGTGCAAGCCTGAGCACCAGCACCGTGACCACTGCAGCCGGGTCTTGGCTCCGTAAGTCAGAGTCAACATCACCATGTGCTTTGTCTCCCATTCTGCTGGTGGTCTGGCCCGTTGAGGACATACTCCTTGGGACCCGTTTTCTGCTCCATAGGGGCAGGGCTGTGCCCCCCCGAGCCACAAACACAACCAGAGCAGGGGCAGGACGCCCACCAGGTACTACACAGGGGTACGGATGGAGTCCGGGGGGGTCTCCCAGCCACCAGCTGCCCATCATCGTGCGGAGCCAGGCTACAAGAGGATAACGTGTCTTTATTCAGTGCCTTTAGAAAATGGTTTATAGGACACACAAACAAACAAAAAAAAAAGATCCACAGGCTGCATTAATTACACAAAATACAGTAGACTGTAAGAAATACGTGTGACTCGCACAGCTTTTATGGTAATAATTTCCATACAATAATAAAAAGCTAGGTACGGATTTACCTTTTTTTCTTTCTTTTTTGTTTTTTAGCACCTTGGATTTGCCCACACCAATTCAAACCAGCTTTGTTGCGCCTTGGCCCTTAGAGCGCTGCAAGGGTGGCACGGGGAAGGGGGTTGATGGCAGTGCCTGCCCTCGGTACCATGCATGTTCAACACGCACACCCTCGTAAACACACACCAAGGGCACGCCTGGCCCCACGCTGGGGCCTCCCCATTGCCTCGGTCCCCGTGCTGGCCTGGGTGTGGCTGTACCCGGAGTGAGGGGCGCAGCGGGGATGGGGGGGACCAGACCCCCCCCAGGACTCATGAGCTGCTGGCCAGGGGGTGGAGGTGAGGATGATTATTGGAGGCTGGGTGGGATGGTCCTTACCTGGGGAGGATGGAGACCATCTCGGGGGGAGCCCCGGCACTGCCATAGGATGGTCCCTTGCTTGGTGGGATGCCAGGGTTTTGGCTGGAGAAGACCCCGTGGCCCCAGCAGTGGGGATTTGGGTCTGGCCCTGAGCTCCTGGTGAGGACAGAGCAGGGCTGGGCGGGGGGGGGGGGTCAGAGAAACCCCTCCAAGGCTTTCCAGGAGGGCACACCGCGTGGCCGTGCTGAAATCTCCCTGCCGAGCATCCTCCTGCCCAGCCACCCCAAAAAGAGCATCCAAGTGGGTGGTGGATGCAAGCTGAAGTGGTTAAATATCAGGGGTTAGAAGAGAAATGGAGCGAGAGGAGGAGGAGGAAGGCAGCCAGCCCATGGCTGCCCTGCCCCAGAGTGGGACGTGAGCCCCTGCCGACCCAGGGCAGGGGCGATGGTAATATTCTTTGGCTTCAGGTCTGCGGGAGAAGAAAATCCTGCGGGGCAAGGGCAGGAGATGGAGGGCTGAGAACCACGGGGGTGCTGGGGTGCAGGCTGGCTCGACCCTCCCCGGGGAGATGTGAGGTACCCAGGGGACGGGGTGGGGGACAGGGGGGTGTCACTTTTTGGCAGCAGTCATGAAGCTGTTCTCGATGCAGAGGACAATGAAGGCATGCTGGCAGCTGCTGGCCACCTGCTCCAGCAGCTTGCCGGAGCCCAGCGAAGAAGCCTGGCCAGTGGCAGTGCGCTCCTCTGTCCGCCACGTCTCACAGTAGCTCTCGGGCAAGCGCCGGCCCTTGGCATCCGAGCCGTGCCACATGCTCTTCTGCGGCCTGGAAAGGAGAAAGGCAGGGGGATGCTGCTGCCCCTACCGCAGTCCAGACCCCCATCTCCCCTCCTTCCCCATCACTCGATCCCATGCTCACCATCCTGCATCCCTCAGGACATCTCGGCCGTCAAAGGAGAGGATGCGGGCACCAGCTCGCAGCGGGGCCCCGCTGCCCGTGAAAAGGGCTTCCCAGTTACTGAAGAGCACTTCGTCCTGATGCGGGGGTGGAAAAAGAGGGGGGAGGTCAGCCCTGCCTGCTCCCTGAGAGCATCACAGGAGGTCCGAGCCCCGGCAGCCCCCAGGGAGGGGATGCTCCATGGTCACTGACGTGCAGATGGATGGGTGCTCTGGGATGCTCTGCGTCCCTTGGAGCTTGTGGGGTCTCAGGAAAGGACACACATACCCGGAGGTTGACGATTGGCACGGTGGCGCGGTCGGCCCTGCGCACGATGCTGTAGAGGTCCTGAAGGCGGGAGGAGAGGAAGGCGCGGAAGGTGCCGGTCAGCCCGACCTGCCGGGCTTGCTGGAAGCACTGGAAGTCAGCGCCCCTGATACCACGCATGCCACCGCTCAGCGGGGCGTTCAGGGCCACCAGGTGAAGCTGCCAAGAGGGGACAACAAGGATTGAGGTACACAGCTTTGGCCACCATCATTGCCTCCCCTTGGCCGGAACGCAGCACTCACGGCGGGCTGGAAGTCCTCGTGCACGTGGGCGGCCACGGGGGCTGGATCCGGCCGGCGGTGGATGTAGTAGCTGTTGAGGAGTTCATGCTGGTGGTGGAGCAGGGGTTGTTCAGGCAGGTGGTGCTGGTTGGCCACCACCTCATCCCCGCGCCAGGGTCGGGCGGTGGGAGGGGGGCTGTGGTTGCGGAGGGGGTGCAGAGGTCCGTGGTGGGGAGGGGGGAGAGACAGGCAGAGGGTTGGTGCTGTCTTGGGCAGGGATTGGGATGGTTAGGGATGGGGATGGCGACGGGGATGGGGGACAGGGGACTCACCAGAGCTGAGCTGGGAACCAGGGTGTGCTCCTCCAGCTGCAAGTACATGGCACATCAGATCCCAGCCACCCCTCCTCCTCTTTCTTGTGCAAGGGTGGGGGGAAGCCCGAGCATCCCCAAAAGATGCCACTGAAACCCCAGGGTGATGCTGCCTGCATCCCCTCAGAGCCGGGCAGTGCAACCCAAGATGGGGTGCCCCCCTCGCACCCCCCAACTCACCAGCACCCGGCGGAAGCCCCCACGCAAGCGGACGTAGAGCTCTTGCCGGTCGGTCAGGAAGACGAGGCAGCCCTCGGGCAGCTCGTGTGCGGCACTCAGCATCGCCTGGTAGGTCGGCAGGGTGTGCAGCTGCGGGCACAGCCCAACGGGCAGCTCAGGGCTTGTCCAGCCAGCCCGCGGGTAACCCCCTGTCCAGAGCCCCAACTCACCCCCAAGGATGTCCCGCTGGTGCCTGGTGGTCCAGGGGGTCCCGGTGGCCCAGGGGGTCCAGGGATGCTGATAGCTGGGAGGAAGAAGGGTGAGATGGAGAGTGCTGCAGCACGGGGCATGTGGAGGGGCGCAGGGGGTGTAGAGAGGGATACAGGGGGTGCAGGGAGAGATGCAGGGTTAGCAGGCCTCTCCCTGCAGGGGCACAGGTACTCACCTTGTCTGTGGGGGCCTGGGAAGGAGGGTGGACCAGGGGGGCCAGGAGGGCCGGGGGGGCCCTGCCGCCCCTCATATCCGATACCGGGGGGGCCCTGAGGTCCGGGAGGCCCCGGTGGCCCAACGATACTGTCCCCCTTGGGACCCTAGGCAGTGTGAGAGAACATCCCTGGAGCAAAGCACCCAGGGATGCTGCCCTCCCCATGCCCCCCTCATCCCCCATGCTGTGGTGTACTCACCGGCAGTCCAGGATAGCCCTGGGGCCCCGGAGGCCCTGGCAGCCCGGAGATGCTGGGACCATAGAGCGGGGTGCTGCCTGGCTCGCCCTTCTCGCCCTTGGGACCTGCCTCCCCTTTGTCACCCTGCAGGATGGCACAGTCTTAGGGTAAGCAGCCAGGGTGCACCCCAGTACCCCAAACCGTGCCAGGTGCCGGCTCTGTGAGCTGCTGCTGGCGGGCAAAGGGCTTACCCGCAGGTTAGCACTGAAGTGACTCAGGTCGTAGGGGAAGTGGCCTGTGGAAAGGGAGAGGGGAGAAGAGGGGAGAGGAGAGCTGGGGTGGGCACAAGCCACCCCCGGCCTGCCCTCTGCCTGCAGGGATGGGTCACCCACCTGGGGGTCCCGGGGCTCCGGCATCGCCTTTCTCTCCCTTTTGTCCTGGAAACTGGTGGAAACCTGTGGGGAGCAGCAGAGAGAGGCCATCTCAGTACTGCAGCATCCTGGTTTTAATGGAGGGGGTTCTGTGTCCCCCCGCCAGCCTTGGTGGGGGTCCTTGAACTGCCCCGAGGAGGCTGGGAGAGGGACACCCCCTTACCAGGGAAGGCTGGCAGCGCAGGATGGCTGGAGTCGCTGAAGGCCTGCGGGGATGCAAAGGAAGCAGCTGCAGAGACGGCAGCATCCTCAGGGACCCCCACCTTGATGTGATGCTGATGGCAGCCCCACATGCCAGCCCTGGCCAGGATGCCACCGGAGTGTCCCCCGTCCCCTCCAGCCAAGCAGCGGGCACTGGGGCAAACCGGTCACCAGCCCTCAGCTCTCCTCATCACAGTGACCGTGTTGTTACTCACATTGCTGTTGTCGTAGACAATGCTGCCAGGCGGCCCAGGGGGCCCTGGGGGGCCTGGGGGTCCTGGGGGACCCTGTGGTGGGAGAGAAGATGAGTCAGGGTCCTGCAAAGTGGACAGTCCCCATGGCAGGGGGACACCAGGGCCATGCCCTGCCCCAGAGGGGCAACCAGCTCTTGAGAGAGGGAGGCATGTGCCCTTTGCCAGAGGGATTTAGGTCCCCAGGGAGATCCTCAGTGTGTGTGTCCCCATCGGCTGGGCCAGCAGCCCGGAGGGACTGCAGCAGTGCTCACCCGCAAGCCCAGCACGCTACTGACATCCACGGGGTCACCCTTCTCGCCCTTCAGCCCGTTCATGCCGGGACGTCCCTGTGGATGAGCAGCACAGATGAGCCTCGTCCCTGGAATCACTGCTGGCACCCCGGAATCACCCCACCCCTCGGCACCGCAGGGACACGATGGGGTTTGGGGTTCAGTGGGTGCAAGACATGCAAACCAAGTGGGGGGGACGCGGTGGAGGAGGTGATGGCCGAGGGGACAAACAAACCGGGAGAGGGTCTTACAGGTCTGCCCGGAAAGCCGATCTCTCCTTTCATCCCTGCTCGTCCCTGGGGACCCTGGAGGGGAGAGAAGACGAGGATGGGGGTGCTCAGAGTGGGGGCACCCCCCATCCCCCTCTGCCCTGGATCAGCTCCATCCCTCCCTGTGGGATACGAGGAGGACAGCGATGGTGACTTACCGAGGGTCCCATCGGTCCCTGCAGCCCTGGCTCCCCCTGCAGACAGTGGAGACAGAAAGGGCATCACCACCAGGACCACCTGGCATCCGTCGCATGGGGACATGCCCCCAGTTCCCGTGGCACACCCACCTTTTCTCCTTTCACCTTTGCAGTGACCACGGTCCCATCAGGGCTGATGATGACGCCAGGCTCCCCCTTCTCTCCCTGCAAGAGAGGAGGAGGCGCGAGGGGAGATGGAGGGACCAGGGTCCCTCCCATGGCAGGGCTGGCATCACCACTGGGACCTGGTGGTCAGGCAGGATTGGGGACCAGGAGCGTGACCACCCCACAGAGTGGAGCTGGCCTGGAGCAGTTACCTTCGAGCCTGGGGAGCCCTGGGGACCAGATGATCCCCGCTCTCCTTTCGGTCCCACTGGTCCCTGGAGGGAGGAGCGCAGAGCCCATATCAGCTCCGACCAACCAAGAGCAGACCCCAATGACCACCCTGGCATTGCTGCAGCAGGATCAGCAACCAGAGGTTTCACCAAAGCATGCCCAGAGCTTTCATTCTGACTCCCGTTTCTGGTGCCCAGGCACTGCCCCATGCCCCACTGCGGGCACCAGTGCCACCCCTGTGGTCCCCAGCCCCGCCACCAACTCACCGGGAAGCCGGCGTGACCCGGTCTACCCTGCAGAAAGAAGCAGAGCTGCTTGTATGAGCAAACCCCCTCTTTCCAAGAACCCCGGTGCCCTCTGGGCACTGCCAGGGGTTGCGGGTGGCAGGGGGGCACCTACCTCTGGACCGGGCAAAGCCGCCAAAGACTTCTGGAAGAAGACAAAACAAGGTTTTTCACCCTAATCTTTGCTCTGAAGAGGTCTGAGCTCCTGGAGAAGTCTCTCTTGGTCCCCCCGCATGATGGGTGCTGGG